GTGTCTGTCCTGTTTGAAAATGCTTGACTTCACTGACTTCGTATCATCTTTATGTACATGGTGATTTCTCTGGCCAAGTAATAAGACTCTAAACTGTGTTGTCTGCAGCTGCACAGAATGGAGTTGGAGGCTGGCCTTATTGAACAGTTTTCATGATATGATGGGTTTAACAATTCACATAGAGATTAATGATAGCGATATTGCCATCCACAAGGTTCATGTCGTAGTCATGGTGATTGGAGCTGTTACTCATTGAACTGGTTCATAGAGTACTTTCCTTACCTTCGTTTAATGGCCTTGGCCCCCACAGTAGAAAAAATTAAACAGCGATTGCAGTTTATAATGTAGTCTTACTGTTAAATAATAATTCTAATACATCAGCGTCATACATAATGATGCATCGTAAATATTCAACCAAGGGCCATTCTTAAACTGCAGCACTTTATGTAATTGATCCTTAGATGGAGCTGGAAGCCAGTCTGAGTGTCAGAAAGGTGTAAGAAAGAAAAGTGCTGTCATGCCGTACATGTACAGAAATATCACAATGAAAAACGGATTGAATCACAGTGTAATGTCAAGCCTTCACAATTCTTATTTTAGGAGAGTTTTATTTATATGCACAAATCTAGAATACGCTGACCGCAGATGGTGCTTTAGAAACGGACATGGTTTCTAAGAAACAGCAAAGCTGTAACATGAAGTCAAGATAACACTGATGACTGACAGGAATTCTGTTTTGGTATGTATTGTTATTTTCAGTTCTTGTTGGTTCATGCCTGCCTCCTCCATCTCCATAGCATGTAGCCCTTTCAATGCATATCTCTTTCCTAAGTGTAAATATCTTCCAGATGCATGCCACACTGTCTGTGTGCCATCATACGTGAGTCCTGCATTCCCCTTTGGTCCTCTATAATACATTTTCAGCAGAGCTAATAGATGTTTGTTTGCCCGTAGTGACTGTGTAATGAATGACTCATAGCATGAGTGGCACCAATGGGAAGCCTGTTCTCCTCTTATAGCAGAAATAATTGACAGCGCCTCATATGCCAGCTCATCTAAATACAGAAACCTTTGCTTGTGTTAACAGAAAACTGAATCCAGGTCAAGTCATTATGGCATCATCAATTAAAATAGCATCATTATCAAACAGCTGGCATGCAGCCTGTTTCTTGCATGATCTATGCCACATGCTTTTAGTAAGACAACAAAGGTTAGATCCCAGGATCAGATGACAAAATTTGCTGGCAGTTGCATTTTAAAGAAACTGCAGTTACAGCTTCTGTAATGTGACGTATTTCTGACTGAAATGGAATATGTGGGTGTAGAATCATTTAGAGAGGGATTTGATCTGATAGTTGGGGGATTTGATTGGGTGCTCAGAAGTAGCTGTTGTCTAGTGAGTGCAGTGTTGTAGAAGGATGTGTACTTGTAGAGGGCTCTTGACCTCCACCCACACCTCCCTCGCCCACATTGTTAGATCAGGAGGTGGCTGGATGAGGGAGAAATTATTAAATTATACCTCAAATAACCACTCTTTTGGAAACTGACATCCAAACACACAACTCCAAACAAATGATATCACAATGCTGGCCAAAACAACCCACAAGCTAATGCTCAAATTTAGTTTTATACAATGGGTAGGGTGAGCCAGTTCGCATTTTGATCGCTGTGACCTCAGAAGCAGGCTGAGAAAAACACACACATGCACGCTCAAACACACGTTTGTACAGCTATCTTTGCGAGGAAACTCATTGACATAATGCCCCCTTACCATCACAACTGAATGCCTACCCCTGACCTTAACCCTATCCTGAACGTAATTCTCACCTGAACCCTACAACCACTTAACCTCAAACAGCCCTTTGAAGGCGTGTCAGGAAGTGAGAACCGGCTGAAATGTCCTCACTTTCTCAAAATGTCAAACAAGTCTTCACAATACGTAGCCATACACACACACACACACACACACACAGTCACAGTCACAGTCACATCCAGCCATAGTGTATTTAAAGTGGTAGCCTGCTGTTTTCGTTCTTCCCGGTCTCCTTTGCCTGTCAGGGGCCTCAGATACTGCTGTTTAATGAGCAGAGGCTCTCCTCACACACTCCTGGTCTACTCTGTTGCTGTGTGTCTGCTGTTGCAGTGCTGACCAGAGGAGACATGCAGGTCTGTGTCCCAGGGCTAATTGCTGCTACTTGGCTGATAGTCTTTCTGATAGTCTCCACTCTCATTGACTCCCCGGACTCCAGGGGGATTCCCACAGGCACCCAAAGACAAACAAACCTGGGCGGACAATCGATAACGGATGCAAGAGTTACCGCTCAGCTCAGCTGCTGATTAAGATTCTCTGGGAATGTGTACGCGTACCTGTGTATGTGTGTGTGTATGTGTGTGTGTGTGTATGTGTGTGTGTATATGCGCTATGTAAGAGAGTGAGTGTGTAAAGGTGTTTGCTGATTGTCCCCACTCCTTGATAGTTAACTGGAATCTTCATCCAGTCCCTGAGTGCTTGTTTATGTGATTTTGATTAAGAGCATGACAGAGTTCATCCTCACAGCAACACCACATTAATGCTCCCTGGTAATTATTCCCACAACATCTCAGCTTTACAACATGGTAGGTGAGATTGTGTCTACGCTTCAATGTGAGACCTGATAATGCACTAGTGCCAGCCCAGCCTAATAATTAGTATAGCTTTTATAACCTTGTCCTTTTTATGTAATTTGATTCATCTATCATAAATCATAACAAAAATAAAAAAGTTAAAATATTTACTTATTTAGTTATTTACCAAACAGCTATTTAAACTTTTCTACATATGCCTGACAAAGACAAATACATACAGCCCGTGATAACACACTAGATATAAACACATTGACTGAAGTCCCTGTAACCAAACCAGAACATTTCACCATGAATTTAAATGATGTGTTATGGAATTGTTTCTTTCCTTTTTATGCTTTAACTACCATTTTTATCTTAATACATTCATTTCATTCTAAATTTAATTCCTCTTAATCCATTCATTTACTTTTAGAGTTTAAAGGGCAGGATTTTCACACTTCCCCAAGTATAAAGCACAATGTTATTTCTAATGTAGATACATGTTTCTAGCAATATTTAAATACCACAATTGTAATCCTGCAAAATCAGTCAAAGTAAACAGTTGAAACATTTTCTTACCAGTAAAACCCTAATGGTTAAGATGTTGTAGGATTGATTTACATATATTGTTTTTGTGGCAGCTTATGACATGACGTGTCTCTGTGTGCCACTGACTGCCACTGGCGAGCAAGCAATGCTGTGCTGTAGTGTCATCTCGCCTCTCCTCACCCTCTCTACCCGTCTATTCCTTCTCTTCCTCTTCTCTCTGGGCTCATGTTTGCTTTTGTTCTCATCTCCAGCCCGACTGACTCACAATGATGATCTTGACCAAGCGCAGGGAAAGGTCAAGGTTGGCCGGTAAATTGCCTCAAAGCAATCAGCCTTGTCTCTCTGTGCTAACAGTGTGAGCTCTCTGTCTCTGTCGCCATCTTGCCATCGCTCTATCTCTCCATCTTTTTTTTCTCTTCTTCTCCATCTCTGTGTTTACCCAGGGGGGAGACGTGTGTCAGGGAGGATTGGCAGCGGGGGGGGGGGTCTGCCCTGCTTTGAAGTCTTGGCTCTGACCGGCGGCTGGGTGAGGGCTGGGGACTTGAAAGCACCGAGCGTCACTGCCTGGGTGACATTTCAACATAGACCAGTATGACCCAGCAGGGTGCTTGTGCGTGCGTGCATGTGTGTTTGTGTGTGTGTGTGTGTGTGTGTGTGTGTAGTGTAGGCATATATATTAAGTATCTATTATAGTATTAATATTGTTATAGAAGATATATATACTAGATGTGTATTATTTTGTGTGTGTGTGTGTGTGTTGTCAAAAGAGTATCTCCTCATGGCTTCAGCTGTCTTCAAGGACTGCTGGCTGCTGGGGGCTATTTGCCTCTGCACCAAAGGGATTACCTTTCATTACATGAAAAACAGAATCACCCCTTCAACCTCTAACCCCTCGCTCAACAATAGTGCCACTGGGATGCTGTGCTAGGGCTGAGTAACTAGATCCAGTTCACAGATGTTTCATGAGCCATGGCTACATATAACACTTTATATCATTTTCAGAACACACACATATGCACACACAGGTCTCAAGGACATACTCCTTTTGGTCAGCTGTTCTTTCCACCCCAGTGTGTCTGAGTGGCTTCCCTCTGATGGCTTTACACACATGAAAGACTTTGCTTTAATGTGTCACACACTACCCACACGCTCAGCCAAACAACATCAAAGGCTGCCTGTGGCATGTAGCTGGACGAATGTCTTCATCTACCGGCCGATTGTGTGTATGTGTGTGTGTGTGCACGTGTGTGTGTTTGTGTGTGTGTGTGTGTGTGTGTGTGTGTGTGTGCGCCTTTCTGTCTGTCCTGCAAATGCTGTAAACAGGTGTTAACATGTCAGCCCACAAGATGCCACATGCCACTGTGTCATGATCTCCTGAACAGCTGTGCCCCACCATTGTGTGTGTGGGTATATGTGGGTGAGTGTGTGTGTGTGTGAGAATGTGTTTACTGTAAGGGTTATAAATGGCTGCAAGAGGAGCTTTAGCCCTAGATTTTGTGCAAAACCAAGGACAAACAAAGAGAGAGGGTAAAGAATGAAAGGGAGCTTTATTGCAATAAATGATTTCCTGGAAAATACATGATTTTCATCTGCTGTGTCTTTCCCTGTGTGTTTTCTGTGTAGACGGTGTGAATAAGTGTGAGCTTGAAGGTAATTTGGGTAGGGTGCGAGTCTGAAACCAAAAGTTCATCCCTGCTGCTGGCTAATGTCTCCATCAACAACCGTATGCCTTAAACAAATGCCTTAAACACAGGACAGAAATCTACCCGCTCTTTCTTTGCCTGTCTCTCTGGATTAAAGAAACAGCTAATAATACTTTGAATGTAAATGTAAATTTCTTTCCTCAGGTGGAGATCGAGAAGCTGGACTACCACCACTACCTGCCTCTGTTCTTTGATGGCTTATGTGAGACTATTCATCCGTACGAGTTCTTCGCCCGCCAGGGAGTCCATGACATGCTGGAGCACGGAGGCCCCAAGATCCAGCCCGTCATTCCCCAGCTCATCATCCCCATCAAGAGTAAGTCTGGGAAGGTGTCTGCACTCACGGTTTACCAATCACACACATCACAGCTGCTTTCCCAAGTGACCCTATGTGGGTTGATGTCGTTTTACATTCACTGTGTTTCCCTGCCACTGAAGGGAAAAAATGTGGTTTACTCAAGACATAAGGAACACCGTGCAAATACTATTATTATTTCAGCTTAAAAACATTTAGAATATTGTTAAGAATGTTGCAATAAAGCTCTAAAGAAAGTGAAGAAGAGAGAGAAAATTGTGTATTTTTAAATAATGTGGTAACTTGATATTATTTTTCAGTTCTAAGATATGTTGTATAATCACACAAGATTATACAACATTAAGATACAGCAAGTATTTCATTAACTTTCACAGCAAAATGGCCTTAATCATTTGAATTCATTTAGAAAATCTTTCTATAAGTAAATATTGTTATTTTATGAGTGATTGACAGCCAAGTAATCTGCTCGGTTAGAGTTTAATTGCAGCCTTAATAAATAAATATTTTTGCATGCCATTACTCACTATTTTGATGACTGCATCATTTCATTTTGATTTATGTCTGCTAACAAATCCCAAGACTACAAGGCATTCCCCATTGCTGAGGAACTTTAACTAGCTGCTTATTGAAATAAATGGCAGATGCTAATAACACACAGAGGTGTGGGCACAAATTGAAAGTGTAGTTGTTTGGAAACCTGATGTTAAGCAACTTAACGAGGAATCACAAAGAATGTCCTTTGTATTTTTTTTTTTCAAAATTGGCTGGCTTGGAAATACTTAAGAATGAATAAATAAATTTAACATTATTATATGAATATTAATATGCATCATAATCTGTATCTAAAATGTCATAACACACTTTTTTAATAATTACACACAATGGCACATTAAAAGCCCCCCAACATTGCAGCTGTAAGGAGTGTAACTAAAATAGAACAACATATTTTATCAGGAATAGACTCACCTGTCTTACACACTCGCACTACAACAGATTCTAACATTACCATACAACCAGTCCTGTGACAAGTCCTAATTTGGTTTCGCAGTCATACTGTTCCTATTATTACATCAGCCCTCAGGGCGAAGCGTCCTTGCTTTTGCATTTGCCGGAAGAAGGTGGCTCTAAAAGCATGCCTGATAATCTGCCATGAATGTGGTGACGTGCTACATTTAACTGTGTCATCATGTTGTGCCTCCTTACCTTTCCACGCTGACACCTTCCCGCGCGCACACACACACACACACACACACACACACACACACACACACACACACACACACACACACACACACACACACACACACAAGTTGGCAGATTGAGGTGGGTGGAAAGGTCATTTTGCAGGGCAAAGTGGTCTCTGACTTCAAAAATAGACATCAGAATTAACTGTGATGTTGCCAGGAAAGGTTTCTTGTGTGGCTGACATGCAGGGGATAAAGGTAGAGTGAAGTTAGAGGAATGCAGAGTGTGGCTTTTGTTTGAAAATTTCAGCACACATGCAGAGACACACAGTCTCTCTCTGTCTCACACACACACACACACACACACACACACACACGTGTTGTCTTTTGTTGGGCGCCGCTGCCAAGTGGAGTGTCAGTTTCAAAGTGGGAGCCTTTAAGTGGCGCCCAGTGAGCCTGGGATAGTGTTCATGTCACGGGCAGTTGGCTGGTGGAGTGTATGTGTATCTGAAGTGTGTATGTGTGTGTGTGCGTGTGTGTGTGTGTGTGTGTGTGTGTGTGTGTGTGTGTGTGTGTGTGTGTGTGTGTGTGTGTGTGTGTGTGTGTGTGTGTGTGTGTGTGTGTGTGTGTATTCCTTGTTTATGTGTGTGTGGTGGACGTCTGTGCAGGCAGAGGGGCATAACGGCCAACACTAGGCAGGGCTATTGGAGACACAGAGACACTGACAGACTGACCCTGGCACAGTGTGGTACCACGCTACTTATGGTACTGAACACACTGCAGGGTCTTAACCATTACACACTAACACATCTGAAATCTTGTGTTTGCATGAATTTTGCTGCATTTTTACTTGTTGACGTTATTTCCTAAATAACTGGGAAATCTATTATTTAGAAAGTAAAATTTATTGATTCAGTTGAAAATTGACCATTCCCATGTCATGTCAATGCAAAATGTTGTTATGCAGGCTGATGATTTATCGCCATCTTTTCACAGGCAGTTTAAATATTTTGATAGCCTAATGTCTGTTTTGCCCTTTATCAGGAGGCACCCACTTTACACACGACTAGACATGATACACACAGTGACTAGGCCACTCGCTAACTTAGGCAGTGGTTTATAAATTCAAACCCCTCAGCAGTTTTGGTCATTTTCCTTTGGGGGGATCAAAGGTGGTGGTTATGCTCCTCATGAAAACACACACTTTGCACTGATAATGGAATTTTGAATCGCCTGCTCCTTATTAACTTCTTGGTTTATTAAAAATCAGGCCTGTTTCGCCATCCACAAGGCAAAGCCACCAGTCCGTGTCTCTGTTGCAGATTAATTACTTTTCTATGGAGCACGGAAGAAGAGGGGATGGTGGAAAGGGGAAGAAAGTAAAAAGCCGTCTGCAGTTTAAAATGGCAAGATATATATTTTTCTCCTCTGACGTTAATACATCTTCAATGTGGCTGGCAGGCTCTTATCTGCAGAGCGACTGAGTCACGTCAGGCCCTGGTGAATTTTGATGATGACTGCAGGTCACCCAATGAGAATACACAATGAAGAAGGCTGTGGCTGACATTATACTCTAAGACCCTGTCCTCTGTGACTTAAAGACTGAACTCTTTCTTACTGTATGGCGTGTCACCTTCACCCCCACACTAGAAAGACTACTTCATAGGTGAAAAAAAGAAGTAACTAATGGTAAACCAACAGTACATTATTTATATGAAACACTTATGAAACACTGATAACAGTAGCATGGTGAGTTACAGAGAAAGGGTAAACTGTTACTGAAATGCTGTGGTTTGGGTTTTTCTGACTTCTTTAAATAGGGAGGAGGATTCAGAGACATGCCTCCATTGAGCCTCAGTTGATTGGCATAACATTTGTTCAGCTTTGAACCAAAATGAGACTTTCATTACAAGAAGATCCTCAGTTACGCCTCTGCACGGGAACATCTTCTTCTGATCTGAAAAGTATATTTATACACTGAGCGAGAACAATTCACCGCTAAACTCTCCAACGTGTCACCCTACCTCTGACATTTCACAGGAAATAGAATACAAGGTCACCATTGTTTTATTTTCACACTGAATATGAAACAGGTACTAGCATGAATAGATGATTACTTTATTCAGATTTGTCTCAACACAGGTTTTATACCAGCATTAATATATCAGGCCCTCGGCTTCCTTCTCCCTTGCTCTTTTAATTTTTTTTTTCTTTCCTTTTTTTCAGCAAGGCGAGAGTGCCAATGAATAATTGAACAGTCCTGCAGTCCAAATGTCACAGCAGGGAAAATTGTTTGCGCTGGTTGGTAATTAGAATTTCATTGTTTGTTATGTAGGTTTGAAATTCCTGTCATTCCACATTCCACTTTATCTTGGTGATGGCAGATATCTTTTCTGTTTGTTGGAGGCACCAAGGCCGAGATGGAGAGATGGCATAAAGCACAATACATTCGCTCATTCAGCATCATCTCTTCTCAGTATAGGCCTCACACACACATTCGCATGCGTGTACACTGTCACTGACACAGACAAGACATATGGAGGCGAAGCTGTCATGCACTCAAATGGACACAAAACAATGGACCTGGTGCAAGTCATCATTTTCTCTCATACATACGCATACACATTAGATAGATAGATACCACCATAAATGCAATATGAATAGTGTGTAAAATGTTTTATTCCTTTGACCTCTCAGCTTTCTGTTGTTTATATGACTCTTCTACGTTGTGAAACTTCATTTATATTTTGCTGCTGCCATGTTCAGCTCTGCCTGTGCTTATGACTGAGGCTGACATTTTGTCTGATTGCTTATAAAGTGTGTGTGTGTGTGTGTGTGTGTGTGTGTGTGTGTGTGTGTGTGTGTGTGTGAGATGAGTGTGTGTTATGAGTGTGTTATGCATATGAGCTGTTTTAAGGCAGGCAGTGGGGGAGGCATTATGCTGTTCGCTGAGTGCTCTAACTGTCACACAATATTTTCAGGTTGTTGCTCTTTCTGTGTCTCAGTCAGTCTTCTCTGTCAATTTGAATATAGTGCTAGGGATAGGAATTGTTAGGGTGTCATTATTGCTCCTACTGATACATTGATGTTTTCATTGATTTCACTGATTGATTTGCAAGAAACAGAAAGGAAATCATTAAGAGTAGAATGAACATGGCTTCATTTTTGTGTCAGCGCTGCATCCAGCACAACGACATCTTAATCGTCGGGCTGGTAAATTAGCACCCAGCGCAGACACACAGGTGGAATCATTCGTGCAAACTGGTGGGCGTTTCATTCACATGACTCATCACAAAATGAGTTGTTGATATCTTGGTGGAAAGATAGAAATCTCAGAACCAGTGTGTTTCTACTGTATCTTTTCATAAAAACACATCTAGCTGGCGATCTAGTTACTTTGTCATGAAGGAGAAATGAAATACTTGTTGCATCACAAATATGGAATAATGCTTAAAAATGCAACAGTCCAACCAATAAATTATTTTAAATAAGCAACAAAATTAAGAAACAAAAAAAACCCAAAAATCTCTTTAGTGGCAATAGCATCAGTGTATCATAGCAAACACTATATCTGAAAATGTAGGACTGCGACACAGCAGCTGACTGTGCTTTTCTGTGAGTTTATGGTGATGGCTCAACAGGTGCTTAAGCAGATTAGTAGCATTGCCTCAGAGTTGTTTGTAAAACACTTGATTGCACTTGAGCGTTGTCGTCATCAACACATTTCATGATTTTCTGGTTCTAGTCTTGTTTGATATGTCTGATTGCTGCCGTTTGTTCTGTGAGAGTTAATGTTACCAAAGCCCCACCTCTCTCGCAAAGTCAGTTGTCAAGACAGAATGGGAGAAAGAGGGAGAAAAAACATTAAGTTTATGTTTGCGACTTCACATTTCTCAAGTGCCGACCAAAAAACCTGCTGCAACAATATCAGTACTCCAGGTTCTGATTCTAAACTTGTAATTGGTCATAATTTGTTGCCTTCTGTGAGACAGTGAAGATACTCAACACATTCATTATTTAGACCAAAAAGCAGGTTTTAATACTTTGGGTTTTTCTTGTCATTTTCCTGTCTTTTGTCAAATTAGAAGTTGAATTAAAAATTAAAAATTTGATTTATTCAAATTAAAATGTTGATTTATTCACATTTTAACCCTAATAACTATTTTAATTGTGATTTGATTAATCACCTCTTTGATTTCAGGCAATTACTGTTTAATTCTTGGTGCTAACTTTCTCTCTCTCTTACTCTCTCCTTCTTTCTCTCTCTCTCTTTTACCTTCTGTCGTATTTTGTCTCCCCTCTGTCGACTATAAGCCCCCAGTGTCTCTGCTCACACTCTCACGGATTCCTTTGTGTTGACTCTCTCTTTTGAAATTGTTTTTTCATGCTTTTCATTTCTGTTATTGTATGTGCTTACTGGCAAAATAGGTGCTGTGATGCCATTACAGTTCTCTTTTTGTGAAAGTAGGCATCAAATGAAAGTTTAAGGTTTCATAAAAAGAAATAGCTTAGGTGTGCTTTTCTTACTAGGTGTACGCTGTCAGTCTGCACAAATGGAATTACTAGCACTCATGCAGAAGCCCCCCCCCCCCCAAACAACACAAATAAAACATGCGTAAAGAACTACAGAAATATGTCTGTCTTAGTTGCTAATTACAGTTATTTTCCAAGCCTTTGCCCTCTACCTGTCACATTTCTTTATCTCTCTTTCTGACATTTTGTCATTTGTTGTTTCTCCCCCTTACCCCCTTGCTCTCTCTGTATTTGTCTCTCTTGATCTCTGTAGCCCTCCATCTCTCCCACCATCATTCCCTTTTGTTCTCTCTATCAGTGGGAGATGGAGTTAAGTGCAGCTGTAGGCCAAATAGCCCAGTGATTGGCTCTCACTTACCCCTTCCTCCCCAGTGCATTTGAAATCACTGATTGCAGACATGCCGGTCTAAATCAAAGCCCAGCCATAAAGGAAATGCTTTCAAGGGAAAGGGAAGGTGTGGGGGTTAAGATTTATATGTATCTTAGCTGTGTGTGTCTGCTAAGCCCACTCACATGTACCATATAGTTCCAGATGTCAGAATTACTCTTCATTTACTGTACCTCCACCTGCCTGAACAAACAACCTAGTTTATATCTTGTTTACTTTCCCAAACCTGACTCAACAAGTGACTGACTTTTTTTTAATTGTCTTAGCTTTTATTCCTGACTTTTTTTTTCTCCAAATTTCCTGCCCTCCAGATGCCCTGAACACGAGGAACCGTCAGGTGATCTGCACCACGCTTAAAGTCCTGCAGCATCTGGTGATGTCTGGAGACATGGTGGGAGAGGCTCTGGTGCCCTACTACAGACAGATCCTCCCCATTCTCAACATCTTCAAGAACATGAACAGTGAGTTTCCAGCTATGCAAATGGTTGAGTGTTAATTCACGGACAGATGGTGTGTCAGCATGACGTGTCTCTGTGCTTTTGTGGAGAAGTCATTGTGTAAGCTTGTCCATTTGTGTTATTAATCATCTTTGTGCTAGTACTGCTACTATGTCAGTGAATTGAAAAAAAAAACAGCCATTCACCAGGCTGTGTGTGTACCCTGTCTTATTGCTGTGGCTTGGTTATTCCAGGGGATCCCACAGAGCTGCTCAGTTCTGGAAAATGCAATGCAAAAGTTAAACGTCTTTTTGCTTGGCTGTGAGTCTTATGACTGAGTCAGAAAGCATCCCGTTTCCTACCTATTATTTTCCCGGCAGATCCTGTCTCTGAATCTTTACTCGTTTTTCCTCTCTCCACTTAAACATCCACTTGACAGAGAAGATCCATTTTGTCCTTCCTGCTGTCAGTCAGGCTGCATTGTGCAGGACTGTTTAGGAGGAGACTTTGTCCTTGCTCTCTGTGAAAGCCCCCACCTGGGTGGACCTCGGGAGATTGGCATCAGATAGACTGGGCTCTTTGTGTGGCTGCGTCAAAGCACTTAGCATGGTGTGACATGATGTGGGCCCATTGAAAGCAAAGAGGCACAACCAAACCCAAACACCCCTCACCACAATCAGTAGGATGTGGTGAGTGACATTGTGAATCAGTCATTTAAACACAAGCTTTAACAGGAGAAAACACAAGGCTTTAGTCTCATAATCAATATCCAATTTGAATCTCTTGTCTCTTTAATTCGCTTACATTATCTGTTACTATTTGCTGAGGTCTAAAAAAAGGAAGGAGAGAGCCAAAAGAGATAGCAGGGAAAGACAAAAGATGGAAAAGAAAAGCCTGCCTTATTAGCGCATGGCCTTATGCAAATCTCCTCTGTAAATTAGCTGTCAAATCAATCCCCTAAACCGTTTTGAAGCGTGAGTTTCTCCGCCACAGCGCAGGCTCAGCAGTTGGCCAGCGAACCCCACCAGGTATAGTTTTATCTCTGCCTGGTACATACTGTACCGGCCTGTCTACCTGCCTGCCCACTAGTCTGTCCTCCACTGGCGGGCATCGATTAAACCTGAGCCAACCTCTCACCTGGCAGACATCCCTGCTATTGACCTCTCCCAGAGAGACCAGTCTGGGTCAGAGAGGGGTCCATACAGCTGCCAAAGCACAGGACCCAGTCTGCTAAACAAGGGTAGTTCTTCCTGTTCAGCAATTTACAGGCATCCAGTGGAGTTTCTCTCTTTTTAAAGTTTAGTTAGAGTTGAGGCTGAATGATACAGAAAGTTTAACCAAACTTCAGTATACAAGTATGTATATTTAACTAAGTACGAACATATATATAAGTTCATACATAGAGAGATAGATGCAAAGACAGAAAGAATCTTTCCTTGTGTTATTATTTCTCCATCTGGAGCTTTAGTGTTAGATGAGCTGTCAATTCATGTCCTGCACCACCCACTCCCTGCTAACAGAAAGATACGACTTCAAATACAGAGGATACATGCTTCTCTTTTAGGGACCAAACACTGTCTGAACCAGAACTCTGTGTTCTTTCTCTCTAATACGCAAATATTTTAGGGTTGTTGTTCTCTCACATTCTCTGTGGCTTTGTCTCTGTCTCTCCTCTGTTTCATGTGACTTGTTTGTATCAATATCAAAGCTTTCATTGAAGTCCATCTATTATCTAATATTACTTATATACACCTCCAGCTTCATCCCACGCTCAGGCGGTTGTCTCAACAGGAGCCAGCGTGCTGCCTTTCGCAGACGGACTCAATCATTGGCTTCAACACAGTAGAAGAAACAGAGGACTGTCTAGCAACATTTCCTTTTGGCTCTCCCACACTGTAACTCACGGAGCTTGCATGGCATCCCTCTTATCTCCTGAGCCACAACGGGGCCACTGTCCAGTATGTGCCAAGTGTGTGTGTGTGTGTCTACAATTGTCTACATCTGTCATGAATAGATCTGTTGTATCCCATTTGCAGCTGTTGGATTCAGTGTGGATGAAGGCCCCAGCTTTCTGTCTCCGTCTCTCTTTTCACTGTTGTTTAGGTCTGCCAGCCCCGGGCACATAATGCTCTACTACAGGCTCACATATACACACAGACACACACTCATACAATCACACACTGTCCCAGTTGAGGCTACACAACCTGACTCTGTCCCTGTCTCACCAGTTGTTCGAGCTGTGAATCAATAGGCTGACAGCCACTGCTGTAGGGTCAGGGCTACAGTTAGATATCACCAGCATCTCATCATGGGACAGATCCCCTAGGCTGTGTTCACACACTCCTGCTGTGTCGCTCCCACTCTGAGACAGGGTTGTGACCTGTTAAATTGGTCTGTATACAGGCCTTATCTGAGCCATTTTTCCTGGGTCAGAGCTGGGACTTAACAGCCATCTCCAAAATGGACCCTTGGGTGTCCTTTCACTCAGACAGAGCACTGGACCTCTGACCAGAAGAACACACTCATGCTCAGTCTCTCTGGAATCCAGGCCTCGGGAGAAGAAACGGCTCAATTGTTCAATGTGAAAAAATATTCCTGTTTAAACTTCAGGCAGCTGACTGCCATTCTTAGGACTGTCAGAGTAATGCGTCATTTTGAAGTGCACAATAATGAGAAATCACATAGTATCATCGTCCTTGATGTACCCCTTTGTCTCCTGAATCAGCTCTCCCAGCTTTTGTTTGCTTTGTGCTTTTTGCCAATCAGCTGTGTGTATGTTTATGTGTGTGTGAGAAACAATGTTGAGGATAGTGTAGGAATTCCTCCAATGTGATTTGCACGGCTCTCTTGTTTGCTTGCTGTGATGAATCTTATCCCTAATGAAATGCAACAACGTTCCTTATGAGGGAGAGATGTGCTCCCTCATCCAGTAAATTCCTCTTCTGAGCTCTAAGGACGGAAGGAACTCATCTACTGTACTCATCTGAGGAAGAAGGAAAGAGAGAAAGAGACTTTGGGGGATTTTGTAAGGCAGCAGGGTAAGCTACGCAGAGAGAATAGTCCGGGGTCTTGACTAGGGATCAAATGGGTGCCAAGACTGACCTTACTTAGTGGGTCAGGTAACGGCCAGACATGACCGACCCACATTAAATACAGATTCCTCCTTCACTGTGAGGTACATTGCTTCAGTTATGTGACTCGTGTTACCTGACATGAAACTGATCCTACACTGTTCTACACAGTTAGGAATTCCTGTTTTAAATTAGAATTTTAAAAACAGGACACTGGTTTGTGATCGGTTCTCTGTTGAGGCTTCAGAATCAGTATTGACAGTCACAAAGCCGTATCAATATTATCCTACTGAAATATGGTTTCCTCTAGAGCCGGACTAATACTGGATTTTTGAGACCAATACTAATAATATCACTACTAAAAATACAATGACAAGATATTTGTATTAGTATTTCTTTTTCTTTTACCTACATGTATTTTAAAAAAAAACATTTTGTGATAACGATATTTTATAGTTGAACAATAAGCTTTATTACCAAAGATTACAATAATAAAAGTATAGTGTGAACTATAAACATCACATGATAAGATTAAATTAAAATCAAATCAAAACACATAAAACAAAATTATATTAAGCTTGAATTGAAAAACAAACAAAAAATAAATGCAGCAATATTTATTATCATTAAATATATTTTTGTTATTGATGTGGTTTACTGATAACATACACAATGATACAAAATATCTGTTTTAACAGTTTTAAGGGACGGTAATTTCAGTACACGTGTGGACACCACCCAAGTACACTGATAAACTCACTCACTCACCAACTCACTGATAAAGGATTTGGTTCCACAGTATTTTTTCATTCAGCTTCACTATTTTATAGACTGCACAAGTGAAGCATAAACGGCCAAGGACTACATAAGGGAATGTTTTTCATCTTCAGTCTCTACATGGCTGTATGTTGTGTCTGAATGTAGTTGATGTTTGCCTGGAGGGCTCTTCTGGTATTTATTTGAACCTGCACTGTAGCATTGTTGTTGTTGTCCTGATCATTTTCTCCGCTTATCTGTAAGGTATAGGTCCTTAAACTCCTATTCATCACTGACAAACCTCTCTCTCACACATACACACACTAAAACACACACACATTCACACACTCATACATATATTGGTCACAAGCTGCGGTGATCTGGTTCATTTGGCCTCTTTTATCTTCCTGCTAGGAATGTGGCCAGCTATGATAAGGTCTCACCCACATGCATTGCTGAGCACACACGCGCACACACACACACACACACACACACACACACACAGGGGTTGTGATAGTAGCTCTCTGTCTTCTGTGCCTTGGCGACTGGTGAGGTTTTTGTGTTGGTGACAGATGCAGTGCTGTGGCTGGCCACTCTGTCTTCCCCCGTGGGCCTGGTTTATCTGTGTATCATATGACACACACATGCACACACGCGTACACACACTCACCACTCATGCCGCACGTCTTTATGAATACCGCGGATCGGTTACAGCACATGCTGATCGCTGGAAAGAAAATAAACAGGAAGAGCTAGCTGACCTCATAACCTCTTGTGGACAGAAGGACAGGGACAGTCAGGAACAAGCCGGCAAGGACATTTCATCAACTGTGGGTGGAACTCGTGTACATGTAACTGCCATAATATGAATATGGCTATCATGAACACACGCGCACACACGCGCACACACACGGGCACACACACACAGGCAAATCAAATCCAAAGCGTTCTTTCCGACTCATTTTAATCTGACAGAAGGCCAAGCGTATGCCAGTGTACTCAGCCACCTGTGCTCTTGTCCACAATACAACATAATGCTCCCGTTTACTGCCAGAACGCTGCACTGTTGCGTATATGTTGAAGTTAATTCCTGGGGATTCCCATGCACAAACATTTGCTTTATTTAATGACCTTTTCCAGCTGCCGTTGTGAAAAATTAATTCACTACCATGCTTTCATTGTGTACATAGTGACACG